CACCAGCCATCTAAGCTCCGAGCCACCGGAACTACCGCTAACCACCTCGCCAAACAACGCAACCCACCAAACCTCATCAACTTCCGCCGTGGTCGCAGCGAACGGAGCGACGGCTGAGCCTGAGGATCTTCAAAGCAGTCACAGCGTCCTCAACCGTGACCCACCGCAGCGAAGCTCCTCCTCCGCCAATCCGAAGCCACAACCACATCGATGAGGAGACACCACACCGCCGTCGACGGAGAAGCATATTGACTCACTCCTGCACCATCTCCAAGAGACCTTGACCGGAGATGAAGCACAGATCTAAACTTGAAAACTGGATCTGAAAAAAGCCTTCGAGAGAGAGAATGGCACGATTTTCAAAGCAACGATTGTGCCACCAAAAATATATTTATAGAGTTAGTTAAACCAAAAAAAAAAAAAAAAGATTAACTATCTTGATTCTTGATTCTACCTCTCCATGATCAGTGACTCTCTTAAAAAGTTGGTTTAATCACAGTCTTTTGTGAGAGATGACGATCAGAAACCTTCCAGAGGATTTGCTAGTAGAGATACTCTCTAGGGTTCCGGCTGTATCTTTGGCACGATTACGATCAACATCCAGAAAATGGAACACTCTGATCAAATATGAAAGAGTACTTGCTAAGAAACACTCTGCTAATGCTCTGATGCACTCCTCCTCTCTGGCTCTTGTGTTGATTGATTATAGACTTTATGTAGTGAGATTTAATCTCCATGGAATTCAAAGTAACGTTGCTCCATCTGTTAAGGTAACTGGTCAATTTATACTAAAAGATCCTCTTTATAATAACTCTTCGGAAGAAGTTGGTATACGTAACGTCATTCACTACGATGGATTATTGCTATGTAGCACCAACGACAATAGATTGGTCGTTTGGAATCCATGTTTAGGTGAAACAAGGTGGATCCAACCTAGAAAATCCTACAAGGCATCAGACTTCTATGCTCTAGGTTACGATAACATATCCTCATGTTACAAAATCTTGAGGATGGAACGATTTGGATGTGGTATCATATTTCAAACTGATATCGAAATCTATGACTTCACCTCCAATTCCTGGAGGGTTGTTGTTGTTGGTAAGAGTAGAGACTGGGTCATTATATATGGTGAGACTTATGACATATCTGTGAATGGACATATTGTTATATGGGGTCATACTCATGGCATGTCTGTGAATGGAGATACTTACTGGCTTGCTTCTGTTCAAATCCTGGAACATGAAGATCACTATCAACCATTCTTACTAAGTTTTGATTTCTCTACAGAGAGATTTGGTAGTGTGTCTCTTCTTGGCGATGTTTATACTATTCCTTCGGCTTTATCTGTGGCTAGAAAAGGGCAACAACTTTGTATGTTGCTACATGGTTTCTTTAAGTCATATGTTTATTACATATGGATAGCATCGAAGAGTGAGAGTACCGGAGCAATGTCATGGAGCAAGTTCCTCACAGTGTGGGACGATGATATCGACAATCATTATAAGTTTAGGCAGTTTGGGAATGGGGTGATCAGTTTCTTGGCCGACTATGAGAAGGAAGTTCTATTGTCTTGTAATAAACCCAATCAGTATTCTAAGAACATCATAAACATTATGGGAAAGGGTAAATACACAGAATTGGATCATCATGGTGCAAAACCTACACATGTACAAGAATCTCCTACCCCATTTCTCTTCAGTTATGTTCCAAGTTTGGTTCAAATCCAACAAGGTATCTAGCTAGTTCTTTGGAGAAGGCAAAAGAGAAGCACCAAGTCATCAGTGCATGGCCTTACAATTGTCACACTAGTCTATGCTTTATCTAGTTTTTGATTGTTGAAAACAATTTCGAAACGAGACAGAGTGGGAAGTGAAGAAAGTTTGAGGCATCATGTGGTAGAATGTCTCAATCCCTATATACTTCATAAATTTCTTTTGTATAATTCAAAATGCTTCTAAGTGATAATTGGTTGATGGGTTTATCTTCAAATATTTTAGTCCATTCTATCTCTTCTCAAAATCTCGAATCTCATGAAGTCATCATACTTACATTTTTAATGGACTAATAATAAATTAAATGTGTATTTCACTAAAAGCTTGATAAATCAATTCTTCATTTTGTATTTGCGAATACCTAAATCTATCTACCTAGCTATAGTCCCAAGGCACTTGTAAAATAAAATTGGCCTTATAAGATTCTACAAACCAATATATCCTTGAGAACCAAGAATATCATCTTCTGAGTCAGTGAAACCTATGTCACAACTCTATAACCATATCAAATTACACAAAAGACGCAAAGGTGATAATTAGGATCATTCATAGATTCACCAAGTGTTGTCATTCGTCATGGTGTTCACATAAAAGAAATATGTATGCTCCCTTCACAAAAGAAAACCAGCAACCGTCGTCTCAGAGATACCGCTGGAACCCTAGTGAGTATCTCCACAACCAAATCCTCCGGAAGATATACAATGTTTCCCTTCTTCATCATCTCTAAAAGCAGACTGTTTTCAGATAACTTGGGATGGAAGTTTTTAGACCTAAAACTTATCCTCATTCATGTGACGTCACAACGCATGCTTTTACTCTGGGCTTCGTCGTAGAAAGTTGGGTTGGGCCTCTTCTAAAACAATAAATTACTTTTTGGCTCTGATTGGTAACCAATTTTGAGGAAAAGAATGAGTAGGAATGTCATGTTCTTTTTGTTCCTCATTTTTTTTTACCATTTATAAGGAACTAGATCATCACCCGTACTTTAGTACGGGTTGAATTTTATTTATTACAAAACTTATATAATATATATATTAGAACTAATTTTTAATATATTATAATAGTAAATGAAAAAATATTAATTTTTTTGTCAGTCCCTATATACAATATTAGAATAAATATAGAATTTTTTCTATAATACTCAATTATGAATATTTTTTTTTTTAAGATATGAAAACGGAAAATAATTTTATTTTTTAAAAATAGGATTGCATATATTTCAGTTAGATCAAAAATTAAAATATCATAAATGAATCGCATATAAAACATAGATTGTTTTGAATTAATTAAAAAAATTAGCTATTATTTTGAATTTATTTAGAAAATTCTTTTTCAATTTATAATTCTTTGGTTGTTGAAATAGAGATTTGTTTGAGCTAATCTAATTACAGAATTTGTTTGAGATTTATAATTACGGAATTTACCAATTATTCGCATAATCGAATATGTTATAAACATATATTTAGTATATGATAATACCAAAATCAACCCGTGCGTGGAGTCTATATTTTTATTTTAGAATCTCAATATTTCATTTTAAAATATTGCGTGCACAATCTCTTATTCGTTAATTCTAAAATTGCTTGCGGAATCAAATTTTCAAATATTTAGAGGTGTCAAACCATATTTAAATGTTCTACACTATTTTTAAATACTCCAAATTAAAATCTTTAAAAAATTTTTGTAGTTTATAAAATTATGAATTTCAAAAAACAAATTATATGAAATTAAATATAACTATTCAAATAGTTATAAGGATCGAAACTCATTTCATCATATAATATATTATATTTAACCCGCTACCTATTATAAATATTTTTAAAAATAATCAAATTAGAGTATTTATAATTTTAACTTTTTGAACTATTAAGTATTGATGATATTCTCTAAAAATATCAAGTAAAACTTATTTTAAATGTTGCAAATTAAAATATTTAAATTTTTATTGTAGTATATAAAATTATATATTTCAAAAAAATAAATGTATGAAATCGAATATAAATATTCAAATTCTGACCCGTTGCTCAGTCGGAATTTTTGTTGACTTTATAGATTGAACAATTTATATGCGTTTTTAAAAATTCAAATCTTGGCATATGCAGAAAAAAAACAATTTTTTTTTATTATGTAGATGATATGATGATTTATTTGTTTGATTTTAATATAATCATATTAAGATGAGAGGTGAAGTTTAATGATTAATAACAAATTAATATGGTAAGTTAGATATCAAATCTTATATGTTCATTTTGATTGGTCATTTAAAAAAAAATAACAGATTTTCGTTTTATAATTTAATGAAATTAATTAAATGACATAAATTAGTATTTTACTTGTTTATCCTTAATAAATTGAATGAAATTTGTTCAAAAAGAAGATTTTTGTAATGGCATTCTTAAGTAAATTCTTACAAAAGGAAAGGTTAGTTAAGGGTATCTTATAAAGTGTACTCCCCAAATAATAGTATAGGATCTTTGTTCCATTTTCAAACATGTGGGTCCTACATTTTTCCTCTTCATTCCTCAAAAAAAAAGAATGATAGAACAAAATTGTTCCTCCCCAAAATTGTAGAGGAACAACAAGGAACAAAAATTTAAAATTCGTTTTTAATTTTTAAATAATTTTAAAATAGCTTTTTTGATAATATTTACATTTTTATACATAAATAATTCCTATATTTTTATTATATATTTATGTATAAAATTTTTTTATCAAAACTTTAATTTAAATGAATCTTATGACTTTGTTTTAAATTAGTATTTATACTTAAATAAATAAATAAATGCTTTCAAGTGAAATTTATATTATTTTAAAATAAAATATTTGAATTTATACTATATTTCGTTTCAATTAAAATAAAACATTAATTTTAAATAAAATTTATAAACTAAATAAAATATATAATTTTTAATAATTATTATGTTAAATATTTGTTCAATTTTTTTGTTACCATTTACCATAATCATTTGTTCAATTCTTATGTTCCTTTTGGTTCCTGGTTTTGATCATTTTCCTTTCCTTTTTGTTCCTTTTCATTCCTTTTTTTTCCTGTTCCTATTGTTCTTTTTTTTGTCACCAATCGGAGCCTTTGTTTTTCACTTTTTCTCAATCTATTAAGTAAACCAAAATCCCAAACCAATAAACAACCAAACCCAAACCAACTAATTTAAACCGGATCATTCCCTCTCTTTACTCTGATCCGATCTCTTCCTCTTTTTCAATTCATGGTTTCAATTTCTTCTTCTCCTTTTTCAAAATTTTCTCACCTCCGAGATCTGATCTGATCGCCGGAATTCAGATGGCGAGGAATAAACTTGTAAATGGTAGTCATGGGATATGGAAATACTTCAACCCTGCGTTTTATCTCCGAAGACCAAGACGTCTTGCTTTGCTCATCATTCTCTTCGTATCTGTTTCCATGGTGGTTTGGGATCGTCAATCTCTTTCCCGAGACTACCAGGTACCACTATTGAATTCATGATAGGCGCTAATCGAATTTTATAAAGTAGGTAGCTCAAGGTCTCTAGAGTATTAGAATGAAACAATATGGATAATACTGGGTTCTAGAGGAATTTCAAAATTCAATCTTTAGATAAAGTAGAGTCTTTATTTGAATTACTCCAATGTTAAACATATATCTATTGAAAGAAGATAGATTTTTTTTCACTTATGTGTGTTTAAAATGTATGCTTACTTTGCAGTTTGAAGTTTCCAAGTTAAATGAAGAAGTTTTGCGGTTGCAGCAGATGGTAAGCTATTTCTTCTTCTCCCTATGAGGATTTGATTAGACCCAAAATTTCCTCTTTTTTTGCATTTGCTTAAATACACAGCGGCCGATATTGGCATTACGCAGTCTCGTGGCTTTGCAAGATTTTGATTGACTTATGAGTTATTCAATCTTGAGAAAGTTATAAGATTTTTATAATGATCTCAAATTTTGTTATGTTTTCTGCTAGTTGGAAGAGATAAAGAGCGTTACTGAGGATGTGTCTGTCAATAGTTTGAAGGATGTTCATGAAGATCCAGTTGATGCTCAGCGAATGCAGAGAGTAAAAGAAGCAATGATTCATGCTTGGAGTTCATATGAAAAGTATGCTTGGGGACAAGATGAGCTTCAGGTACAGTTTTATCTTTATATTAGTGACAATTGTTTCTACAAATCAGCATTGATCTTCAAATAGGGCCTTCTTTTGAAATTGAATAGTTAGCTGTAATGCTATTAGCTTATGTTATGTTTCACCACTTTTCAGAGAAGTATTGGGTTTAACTAGTCAAAATGAGAACACTTTCTACTTGCTATAAATATATGTCTCTGAAGCTATTTTGTTAAATTTTTTGCATTATCAGCCCCAGACAAAAGACGGCGTTGACAGCTTTGGTGGCCTGGGTGCAACTATGATCGATGCATTAGATACACTCTATATAATGGGTCTAGATGAGCAGTTTCAGAAAGCCAGAGAGTGAGTAGATTTCTTCCATCCTCCCCATTTCTTAGGAAGATTCTTTCTGGCTTGACTTGTTCTAAACAGGCTTGTCTCATCTTATTGAGAAAAAAATAAGAAGTGGAGAAAATGAAATAGAAATGGCTATTGAATCTTTGTAACATATCTGTTGTGCAATGTTCACTTTTGACTGTAACTCATAGCCTATTTCAAGAAGATATAGAAATTGTTATATACTTCTGGCTAACACTGCAACCTCCTATGAATAATTTTGTTTCTGAGCTATCGATATTGTTTTCTTCTCCATTAATTGAAGTTCGAATCCCAACTTTCCCTGTTCATCTTTCCCAGCCTTCATTTGCTTATTGTCTTTCATTTGCAGGTGGGTAGCAAGCTCATTAGATTTCGACAAGGATTATGCTGCCAGTATGTTTGAGACAACCATAAGGTTGCATTTAACAGGTTTACCATGTTGTTTTTCTACGTGTACTAAGAAGAGTCATCTTGTTTAGGTTATTTGTTGTGTGGAGTTAGCAGAATATGTGGTATGGAAGTGTAGCATCTGCGCTTATAGATTTTCTCTTTGTTGGCTTTCAGAGTGGTAGGAGGGCTTCTCAGTGCGTATGATCTATCTGGGGATAAAATTTTCCTCGAAAAGGCTACGGATATTGCAGACAGATTATTGCCTGCATGGGACACTCAATCGGGTATACCATATAATATTATCAACTTGAAGCATGGAAATGCTCACAATCCTACATGGGCGGGGGTAAGTCCTATCTGTCATATTCCTTGTCGATCTTCTCAAAGCCTTAAGCAGTGGATATACATTTTCTCTTCTTGTCTCGCGGATTTTCATATGCCTGCAAAGCTTTATAGAGATAGTCGTTCGAACATGTTTCTAAAGGAGCTCCTAAGAGGTCACTGAAAAATTGAGATTTAAGTTCCAGTCACTTTCTTAGATGTTTCAGGACTCGCCAGGAACGAACTGTTCTGCTTTTCAAGTTATGTGACAATTAGTATTCTGTTTGTGTCTAGACTGTTTTAGTTGTAAAGATCATGACGAAAGTAAAGATTCTTTATTAACTAGGTATTGTTTCACTAGGAAGCTCATGTTTAATGTTTGTGGAATGTGATGTATTCACATATGTTTTATCATGTACATGTGGTCTTTGGGTTTAGTTGATTGTTTACTTCTTTCTTGTACTAGGGAGACAGTATTCTTGCAGATTCTGGTACTGAGCAGCTTGAATTTATTGCCCTTTCCCAGAGGACAGGGGACCCAAAATATCAGCAAAAGGTGCAATTACTCTTCGTAATTTGTAGTACGACTGACTTATTACATATCCATCTGCTTATCAGCGAATTTGTTATGTTTATAAACCAGTGGATGGGGGATACATATTTCTTAGCTTATTCTGTTGTATTATATACTGATTAGGTATTAAAGTTGGCAATAGGTCAGGATGCATATTGTCATTATTCGGTGGAAATAAATTGCACCTTAATGGTTGACCTGTTAACTCGTGTCTCAGGTAGAAAAGGTTATTTCAGTACTAAATAAGAACTTCCCTGCTGATGGTTTACTTCCGATATATATAAATCCCGATACAGCTATTCCATCGTACTCTACCATAACATTTGGTGCCATGGGAGACAGGTTTTTTTCCAACTTGATTGCATTTTATATTACTGCTCGTATGAACCCTTCTGGTTCTTCTTTGGTTTGATTTGTGACGATTAATATTTCGCGTACAGCTTTTACGAATATTTGCTCAAAGTTTGGGTGTTTGGGAACAAAACTTCAGCAGTGAAACACTATAGGTAAGTTTAACTCTAGTCTACTGAGTGTATATGTCTTATAAATTATATGGTAAACGTAACATTGGAGTATTTGAAAGCTGATTGAAATCAACTCCGCTAATTTCAGCCAGCAGCCATCACAATTATTTTTCTGCTTGATATCTATGTTCTTCTTATCTTTGCTGGTCTTGTAGTTTCAACATTTTTAGCCAAACAATAATAATTTGTACTGTTATTACTTGAAATCTTGGCATCAGAGATATGTGGGAGAAATCAATGAATGGTCTGCTAAGCTTGGTTAGGAAATCTACACCGTCGTCGTTTACATATATCTGTGAGAAGAATGGAAATTTGATCGATAAGGTAAACCCGTCTGTTCATTGTTTCTACTGTACTACATGAAAATGTTTCATTGCCAGGCCTTTCCAGTCTCATGTTCTTTCTCATCTGTATTCAGATGGATGAATTGGCATGCTTTGCTCCCGGAATGTTGGCTTTAGGAGCATCTGGGTATAGTGATCCTGCTGAAGGAAAGAAGTTTCTCTCACTCGCCGAAGAGGTAAACTTATGGCTTGAATGATCTTTGATCATAGCCTCATAGTCATAGGTGCTTTGGATCTTTGAATTTTCTGCTTTTCTGATTTAGGCTGTCTGAGCTTTAGCCTTTATTGCTATTTTCCACATATCTTGCAGCTTGCATGGACGTGTTATAACTTCTACCAATCAACACCAACAAAACTGGCTGGGGAGAATTATTTCTTCAACTCTGGGAGTGTATGTCATTTGCAAGTCTTTTTCAAACAGATTGTTTATTTTATGCGTAATTTGTTGTTTAGTATATGCATTCCACAAACATGGTGATTCAGGACATGAGTGTTGGAACGTCGTGGAACATCTTGAGACCAGAAACTGTCGAATCACTGTTTTACCTCTGGCGGTTAACTGGCAACAAGACATATCAAGAGTGGGGATGGAATATATTTGAAGCATTTGAGAAGAACTCGCGCATAGAGTCTGGATATGTCGGTTTGAAGGATGTAAGTTTTCTGTAGGCGCCTAATTAGATCCCGCATTGTTAAAACATTGGTGAATTGAATTATATCATTCAACCATCCATATTAGTTATTAAGTGTAACTGATGGTAGATTCTTATTTTCTTTCAATCATTCCAGGTTAATACAGGCGTTAAGGACAACAAGATGCAAAGCTTCTTCCTTGCTGAGACGCTCAAGTATCTCTATCTACTCTTCTCGCCCACAACAGTCATTCCCTTAGACGAGTGGGTATTCAACACAGAAGCTCACCCACTTAAGATTAAACCCCGAAACGATCAAGTAAATCTCAAACAATCCAACAAAGTACTGCTACGAAAACCGGCATTTAGAATACGCCAGAGGCATTATGGTCGGATAACAAAGAAGTAAAACTCACTGGAGAGGTCACAGTGTGAATCTTTGGAACCGGGCATTCTGATGTGTAGGAGGGCTCTATGAATATATCTTAACAGAGTAATTGGATTTAGCTTTGGCTATTCAAAGACCCTTTTATTTAAGAAACCATTTTTGGAAAGATTTCAAGATATAGACTATTGTTGTACTAGTTGGGATCAGAACCCAAACAGGTTACCACAGTTTACACCTTGTGTTTTGTATCCTTAGATTATAAATTAAGAGTATTATTTTTTGTTTTGTATTCGACAAAAGATTAAGGTATAAAAGACTGCAATAATGTAGAAGAAATGTAATGGAAGCAACCAAGAAAAGAAGGAGAAGCAATTTGCAATGAGACCAAGACTCTGAAAAGACATTAGTGTTGACTAAATCTCCACGTCACACCAAAAGGAAGAAGAATGACTTGGCGGCTAGTATAATGGTTTTAAAAATGACCACAGAATCTCACCAGCCTCAAAACCTCACGACACGTCATGGCTCCAATTCTACAAACACCATTCATTTCATTTCCCTAAAAAGTTCTGGCTCATGTAATTTTCTTTGGTGTGTGAACTGTGGAAGAGACTACTCTCATCAACCATGAACCATAAAAACTCCACCGCTCTTTCTCTCCCTCAATCATTTACATCTCTTCCTTAAATCTCTCTTCCACATCTTCATCATCATTCCAATCCAATTCTCTCTCTTTTCTTACTTGTGTGATCAGAGATCGACTCAATGGTGAGCTTCTGCGAGCTTTGTGGTGCCGAAGCTGATATCCACTGCGCCGCGGACTCAGCTTTCCTCTGCCGTTCTTGTGACGCTAAGTTCCATGGCTCAAATTTCCTCTTCGCTCGTCATTTCCGTCGCGTCATCTGCCCTAATTGCAAATCTCTCACTCAAGATTTCGTTTCTGGTCCTCTTCTTCCTTGGCCTCCACGAACAACCTGCTGTTCTAGATCGTCTTCGTCTTCGTCATGTTGCTCGTCTCTTGACTGTGTCTCAAGCTCCGAGCTATCTTCGACGACGGGTGGCGTAAACAGAGCGCGAGGAAGGAAAGAAAGAGTAAAAAAGGCCAAGGCCGTTGCGGTTACGGTTGCGGATGGCGTTTTTGTAAGTTGGTGTGGTAAATTAGGACTAAAGCGAGATTTAACAAACGCTGTCGTTTCGTATGCGTCACTCGCTTTGTCTGTGGCGGAGAGGAAGCCGAGAGCGACGAAGAGAGTGATTTTAGCGGCGGCGTTTTGGTTCGGCGTTAAGAACACGATGAAGTTGCAGAGTTTAAAGAAGGTGGAAGCTGTAACCGGAGTTTCAGCTGGGATGATTCGAGCGGTTGAAAGCAAAATGGCGCGTGCAATGACGCTACAGCTTAGACGGTGGCGCGTGGATTCGGAGGAAGGATGGGCTGAAAACGACAACGTTTGAACAAAATTGACGTGGGTCCCGCATTACAAATTAGGACATTAGTGCCTTAATTAAAGGAGTTTGTGTCATTGACCATTGGACTTGTTGATTTTTCTTTTCAACGTTTTAGAATTAAAATGGTCTGAACCGAATGAGATGATAGAAATTTCTTTAGAGGAGGAATTTAAACATTTAAAATCACTCTGTACTTTCATCAATTCCCTTAAAAGAATGGTTATTATTATATTTAAGCGATTAAAATTTGATTATTTAAACTTAATAATACCAATATAGCATTGCTATTCCTATGAGTAGTTTTTTAATCAACAGTAAGAAGATTTTAGAAACGGAATAATGGTAATCCAATAGTCATAGGAATAGCAACAGTTGGTTGTTATTATCACTAAAAAATATAAATTGAAAAGAAACAAATTTTCTTATTTCAAGTAAAATTCGTTATTATCAATATCAAAACAAAAGGGGTTGGCTGATTTTATAGCCATAAACTAGTTGCATTCTCAGCTTTCCCCCCCAACCTTTTCGCTCCAGCTAATTCCACCATTAACTTAGATAATTCTCACAATTTCAACATGTACTTTCGGATTCATCCTTAAAACTACGCCTCCAATTGAACCGGTCATTAAACCGGTTCTAACCACAAATCCGCGTTTATTGTACCGCGATTGCGATTTACCCGACTAAAAACCCATTACCCGTTAAGAAAACGACGTCGTTTTCTTTTTGATAAACTCATCAAAACCCAAAAAAAAAACGACGTCGTTTTCATTCTTCTTCTTCTACAAAATCGATTTGGGCGTTTAGGGTTCTTCATTCCTAAAGTTGTGTGCATCAATCAACATAGAGTTCCCTTGTTTATAAAAACAATCTTAAGAAAACAGAGAACAACAAAGCCAACTATGATTCTCATTCTTCACAGAAATAGAGAGAGAAAGAGAAGATTACTTACCTGCTCTTGAGAGGAAGACATTATAGGTACATCGTGTAAATCTCCCATCTCATCCACATCAACGTTCATCAAACTGTACAAAAACATTTTCTCAGTAATCAACTAAACCCTAAATCAAGAAAAGTAAAAAGAAATTACCCAGAAGAAGAAAAGTTGCCGATTTGATAGCCAACAGAAGCATGTAACGATGGAAGAGGCGGAGCACTAAGGTCCATCAAATCCATAGCCAAAGCCGTCGATGTTTCATCTTGTGAGAATCGTTCCAAATTCGAAACCCCAATCATCGGCATATGACCCTCTTGAAACCCCTGCAAAGACGACTGATCAATCTCCGGCATATGAAGTACGATGCTGCGAATATCGCTGGTCACAGTAATGGTCCCCGGCTCTCTCCACATCCCAATTAAAGCGCTCGAGCAAAGAGAGGACTTCTTGCGGAGGCAATTCAGGAGCCACTTCTTGTAATAAACGATGCGTTCTTGCTTCAATTCAGACGATAGTTCCTTCGGCGCCTGATTCAAAACCTGACGTGAATCGATCCTTTTTCTTGGCGGAATCTGATTCGAAATCCGACTTGGATAATTGATCGATCTTGGCGACTCCGCCGTCGTGGATTGCTCGTTAACTGAAACCTCCGGCGAAGATTTTGTAGAAGAAGAAGAATGAAAACGACGTCGTTTTCTTAACGGGTAATGGGTTTTTAATCGGGTAAATCGCAATCGCGGTACAGTAAACGCGGATTTGTGGTTAGAACCGGTTTAATGACCGGTTCAATTGGAGGCGTAGTTTTAAGGATGAATCCGAAAGTACATGTTGAAATTGTGAGAATTATCTAAGTTAATGGTGGAATTAGCTGGAGCGAAAAGGTTGGGGGGGAAAGCTGAGAATGCAACTAGTTTATGGCTATAAAATCAGCCAACCCAAACAAAAGAGAGTATAAAAAAAAAAAAAACTAAAAAAAAAATAATAATTGAAAAACCCCTTATATGTATGTGTTTTACAAACCCTACTCTGGAAAAGTCCTAATTCCTAAAGCATTACTTTCAACAAAGTCGCCTGAAGCATCTGCCATAGTGAAAGATCAGACTCTTCAAGCTAAATCTTATTCTCCTCAATCATGGAAGCTCTCTACACTTCAACACACATCCCCAATTTACAGACAAAGCCTCTCCTCAAACCTTCGCTGCCCACTTCATCCCAGTCTTCCTGTTGGTTTTGTAATTCGCTACCCAAAAAGCAATTCCCGAAGCTGAGAATCAGTAATGGATCAAGTCACGGGCTTCGTATACAAGCTCTCTTACATAACGAGACACCAAGTGAAGGCGAAGATAATATGGCTGAAAGTAATGGGTTCGGTTTTTTTCCTGGGGATATTTTCTCTTTATCACAGGTAACTTTTTCTCTTGTCTTGTGATGAATTGTGATGAATAAATTCAACGAAAGATTACAACTTTTGTTGTGGGTATGCAATAATTCAGTAAAAGATTTAAATTTTGGAACATTGGTTTTGATGCAGAGTTTGTGTAGAATCGAATCTTAGTTTAGTGCAAAGATGAATTTGTAATAGATAGTTTGCTTTGGCATATTAATTAATAGCTTGTTATGTGGTGTGAAGGAAAAGCTCGGGAGTAATAGCAATGGTGAAACTTCTCATAGTGTAATCGATGTGGAGGCATCTCTCGCACATCCTCAGGGTGGTGGAGGAAATCGAGCTGGACTTTTTAGAACTCCAATATCTGGTGGTGTTCAAAATGCTACATCTGCTCATGCTTTACCTCGGCCTGCTTTAGCTGTACGGAACTTGTTGGAACAGGTAAAGGGTTTTTCCTTTAGATGGTTTGTATTGTTCCTTTTTTACTTCAATGAGAAAAGATTATATCAATTTCTTTATCTGTCTGGTCTTGTTTTCTGTGTATGAGTCAAGGCTAGGTTTGCTCATCTATGCACAGTGATGTCCAAAATGCACCACCGCAGGGAAGGGTACCCGTTTGGCTCATTGGTAGATTTTGCACCTGATCGGATGGGACGTAAGTCACTGAATCTTTCTTTCTTTGTTTTCTGCTCCTAATTCTACAGTGTCTTCTTTTGTTGCACGCTCAGTTTCTCTTCAAAATATCAGATTTACTACAATTGGTTCCTACGTCTCTAACTTTCACTGTTAAATTTTCTAACTTGATTTGGATTTGGTGGGACAGAATAGTAGAAAGTGAACTCAAAATTGTTTGTTTGCCCCTTTTCCATAAATCTCATTAAATATGTATATGTAGGAGTGTTTTTGGTCTGGATAGTATTGAAGGCAATGCTGAAATTATAATAGCACAGTTAATGCCTTGAGTCTTCTGGCTGAGATATAATAGATGCTCATTTTTTGAATGGCTTCTACTTTTTCTTATCAGATCCAATATTTTTATTTTCACCCTTGGCCATCCACACACGAAATCTCTTGGCTGAACCGAGATGCAGTCTCGTTGTCCAGGTAACATTGGCTATTATTGTGTTTAAACTATGCAAGCAAGAGGTTTTCCCTTTTTTTTATGTAACCGGGATTTTGACTGGCAGATACCTGGATGGAGTGGCTTATCTAATGCTAGAGTGACATTATTTGGTGATGTATACCCATTGTCAGAAGATGAACAGGTGGGTGTCTAGTTACTGTTTTCCTTTTCAATTTATGGTTGTCTATGCATGAATCTCACCTGCGAAACATCTGTATGTCTGAGTAATGGGTCGTAATATCTCTGGTTGTTGCTTGGTAGGAGTGGGCTCATAAGCAATATATTGCTAAGCACCCGCACGGGCCTTCTGAGCAATGGGGAAACTTTCACTATTTTAGAATGCAGAACATAAGGTTTGTTTCAAAACTTGTGCCTTCCAAATTACCAATACACGTAGGATGATTTTTTGACTCCTATAACTTATCCACTCCATTCTCAATGTGACAATTGGCAGTGATATATATTTCATTGGAGGCTTTGGCACGGTTGCTTGGGTTGATGTCAAAGAGTATGAAGCTTTGCAACCAGATAAGATAGCTGTTGATGGTGGTGAGCGGAACCTCAAGGTGCGTTTTGTCAGATCCTATTTGGTCGCTTTAGAGACTCCAATAAACTTTCTCCTCAATCTTGGCCTTTCGTAAACTGGATTGATTTCAGTGTGCTCTAACGTACTTTCCCTATAACTTCTGATAGGAACTAAATGCCATCTTCTCGAAACCGCTGAGAGAGCTACTGTCTACTGAATCAGAGGTAGACGACGCTGCTCTCATTTCTATAGATAGCAAAGGGATAGATGTACGGGTTCGTCAAGGTGCTCAGGTAAAATAACATTGTATAACACAGTTTTGTCCAGTTGATGTCGACACAAAGCTTATCTCTCTGTGCTCGATTGTTTTTTGCAGTTCAACATACAAAGGCTAGCATTTGAGGAAGGTCATGGTGTTGAGACACTAGAAGAAGCTAAATCTGCATTATGGAAAGTGATGGAGAAGGTCAAGCTGAATTTGCAGAAATGACAAGCCCCTTTTGCTACTCTATACGGGTCCGTTTAAAATAGTAGGACCAATAAATGTTGTTTGGTTCCTCTTTTCCTCTTTTTGACTAGCTGAAATTTTGTAGTTTCTTCTATGATTTGGCCTCCTTTTTGTAGAGTAAACAAAATTGGGGGTTTAAAAAACGTCAATTTCGAAATATAGGGTCGAAATCTGAGATTTTAATATTTATCTGGCATTAATGATGTTTCTGGAAGTTTGAAATTACCAAAGCCAATACTAAATCGTTACAATAATCTCACCGATGGCGGAGATCACTGCACCGCTATGTACACAAGTGTGTTTGGTACAAGAGAGAGCCATCCTAAGTTAGAGACATTATTTGGCATTCAAATAAACAAACCACTCGCATAAGTTAGTTGGAAAGATTATACATAAATTAGTGTGACAATTATAAACCACACTAGCTCTTGTACTTTGGATGGGACGATTACGATCAACATCCAAAGAATGGAATGCTCTGATCAAATATGGGAGTTATAATACAAGTTAATAAGAAACGCAGAATGAGTTGTGCCAGAGTCAGATTCAAGCCCATTCGGTTTTGGTTTTTGAAGCAGTAACGGAAAAAACAGAGGGAAGAAATTCAGAATCAGAAACAGAATGTTCTCAAAGAGTCTTCTTTTTTGTCCAAGATCTAAGTCAGTCGTCGTTCTTGGTTCTCTCGGCGAGCTTGAGCCAATGTTCACTCCTTCAAAATTTTGAACTCTTATTCGATAATACTTGTAAGAATAAGAGAGATAAATCGGTGAGTAGAGTGTAAGAGACTAAGACTGGACTAATGGTTGCTGGTCTACATCATGTTGCTTTAACGCCAAGTCTTAGGTTTAAGGGAGAGATTTTCATGATGGAGCTTGTTCTTGGCCTATAGCGACCTAGACCATTCCCGAATTAAATTATCTTGGCCTATAGTTTTTGATGATGCAGGCTTAAATTTTTCTTTCTTCTTTATAAAAGAGCAGGACACAAATAAGAAACCATATTGGTCATGAACTCATGAGTTGTAATCATGACCAAAGATGTGTTATAACTCGAAATTGCTACAGAAACTGTATTTTAAGTTTACAATATAGAAAAACCCATAAACAGAGAAAATAAATAGACTATAACTTGTAATTTGTGTATAGTGACTGAGTTGGTTTAAAAAATGCAGAACGAGCTTAATTTCAATGTAAAAAAAAAAAACATGAACTGGATTATAATAACCGATTGGAGAGGTTTGATCATGCGGCCCATCGGTTTTTACCATCGCATTCAAGTAAAAAATTCGCAAACTAGAAGTCTAGAACCGGCTTGGTGGTTTCAGAATGCTTCTTCTGTGATGCCTATAGCTATACTCGTTTATCAAGAGAGAACCATCCTAACTTAGATAAACAGTGCACAAACTACCTCCTCCAAGATACTAGATACCTTGTTGAATTTGAACCAAACTTGGAACATAAGTGAGGAGACGTGGGGTAGGAGATTCAGCACCATGTTGATCCTCATGTATGTATTTATCCTTTCCCAAAAATTGTATAATGTTGTCGGAGAACACGGAGTTATTACAAGACACTACAACTTTGTTCTCCTGGTCGACCAAGAAAGTCATCCCAAAACAAAACCGCAAATGATGGCGGAGATCGAATTTCGATACTGTCAGGAACTTGCTCCATGAAATGTCTCCGGTACTCTCCATCTTAGTCGCTATCCATACCTCAGGGATCCGAAGAGCAATCATACAAAGTTGTTGCTCTTCTCTAGTCACTGATAAAGCCACATCAGAATACCATCTAGGAGCATCCTTGGGAAGAGACAGACTTTGGAACCTCTCTGTAGAAAAATCATAACATTGTAAGATAACACGTCCTTGTCCATTATTAGCAAGCCAGTAAGTATTTCCCTTCACAGATATGCCAAGCCTCTGAATACGTGGTATGAGCAAGCCTCCAGTCTCACCAACAACCCGCCACGATTTAGAGGTAAAGTCATAGACTTGGTACTCAGTTTGAAATGGGAAACGATAGCCAGATCGATCCACGCTCAAGATTTTGTAACAGGAGGATCTGTTATCGTAACCTAGAGCATAGTGGTTATATTCCTTGTAAGTAATTACTCTGGGTTGGATCCACATTTTTTCACCTGAACATGGATTCAAAACAACCAGTTTATTGGCCTTGGTGGTGCATAGCAACAAGCCGTTGCAGTGAAAGACGCTACATATACCAACTTCTTCTGAAGAGTTAGAAAGAGGATCTTTTAGGCTAAATTGACCTGTTAGCTTTGCAGATGGAACATCCTTGTTATTGTTGATTCCGTGGAGATTGATGCTCACTATATAAACCCTAAAATTAATCAACATGATAACCAGAGAAGACTGCCTTGGAGCATAAGCAGAATGCTTCTTAGCAAGTCTCCCATATTTGATCAGAGCATTCCATTCCTTGGATGTTGATCGTAATCTTGCCAAAGATACAGCCGGAACCCTAGAGAGTATTTCCACTACCAAATCCTCAGGGAGATGCATTGTGCTCGAAAACGACTGTTTCGAAAAAGATTAGGGTTCAATTCTTAGTAAACAAGGGAGATGAGAGATTTTAGACCTAAAAACATTCTAACTGATTCACGTCCTAGATTCAGCTGACTTTGGGCTTGTGGGCCTCCGTTGCTATTAGGAGAGGCCTACTGCTTCTACTGGAAACAAAAGTTTTCCGTTTCGTGATTGGTCTTTTTGACTCTTTAATATGGCCAAATTTGTAGTTCCTTTCACAGAAATGCAACGGGGAATATTGAATTTTATTAGCATTACAAGGGGTTTATTTGTTTTTGCTATGGTTGATATACTGATTTTTTCATAGCGTTTTTAAATTGATAAACGCTACTATATGTCACATAAAATAGATTGAATATAATCTTGACCAACTGTGAGAGGTCCTCACGAGATGTAGTATTGGAATTTCACTTTTCTAATACTTTAAAACAAAGCATAAATATCCAACTTGTATCTCTTTTTTTAATCCAAAAGGTAACCTTTTTTATCACGTTGCATACATGGAACTGGTAAAGGATGAAAATAACTCCATGTAACTCATTCATTCAGATTTTATAACTCCATCTACTACAACCCCCAAAATCTTTGACAACCAGTCTCAAACACTAATTTCAATAAAATTAGTGTGGATGGTTACCCATGTCTCTCAATTACTAGTTATTATGCAACATAACTCTATAACCAATATCAAAAAGACACGTACGAAGCTCAACCCAAAACAAAAGCTAAGGTGACACACTTGTTCCTAGCTCCAAGTCATGATGATCATTCAGAAACCTAAGTATTGCCACTGGTTTTCGTGTTCGCATAAAAGAAACCAGAAGAAGTTTAACAAAAGTAAACTAACATCATCCACTCGCAGAGGATGAAAAAACTGGAATAGTTTGGGGAAAATATTATAGAATAGCAAAACACATCTTATTGAATATCAAGAGTTAGATTATAAGATAAATGCATAAACTAGCTAGTGTGTGACAATTACACAAAGAACTTAGATACCTTGTTGGATTTGAACCAAACTTGGAACATAACTGATGAGGAGATATGGGATGTGTCTAGGTTGTGCACCATGATGATTTACTTCTATGTATTTATCCTCTCCCACAATGTGTATGATATTTGGAAACACTGAGTTACAAGACACTACAACTTTGTCCTCATGGTCGACCAAGAAACTCATCCCGATATTAAACTGACGATGATAGCAGTCACTGGCTCCCGTCACTGTTAGGAACTTGCTCCACAAAATGGCTCCGGTACTCCCAATCTTAGTTGCCATCCATACATTTATATCTAATACTTGGGTAGCTAGCAAACAAAGTTGTTGATTTTCTTTAGTCACTGATAAAGCCATATTACCATAAACACGACGAGCATCCGCTGGAAGAGACAGAAATTGGAATCTCTCACTTGAAAAATCGAAACGTAGTAAGAAATGATCATTTCGCGGCTCGTATTGACCACCAGCAAGCCAGTAAGTATTTCCCTTCACACACACGTCCTAAATTCAGTTCACTGTGGGCTTCTGGGGCCCATGGGACAAGACAACAATAATCTACTATGGGCTTCCTTTAGCCTTACTCCGAATAACCTCTTGTTGGTTGGATTTGGACAAAACTGGGAACATAACTGACGACAAGTGACCATCTAGACTTGCATTCATTATGATCCATCTTTGACTAGAGCGTTCCATATTGTTGACCATCTAGAAGTTGAATTCCTTGATTGAACATGAACAAAGAAAAGTGAAATCAATGAGAACAAGAAGAAGAGCAAAGAAGAAGCTCAAGCAAAAGAAGAAGCAAAGGCTCGTGACTGAAGGATGTCGAAGAAGGAGAAGAGAGTCAACGACAGAGAAAGAAGGAAAGTCAACAATGAAAGAAGTTGGGCTTGAAGTGTTTTTGGTAATAAGAAAGTTAATGGGCTGCTGGTTTAGTGAAGGCCGAAGTGAAGAATTGTTGTTTAGATTAAACTAAGTTACAGTAGTTAAGTCCAAGTTAAGGACTAAAGACTAGAGTTGTTAGAGTTGTTGTTGTGCAAGAGTAGTTTGATTAACCTTGCTTGTAAGTTTGGTTATAGTCTTAGCTAGGGTGACGATGTCTAGTGGTAGTAGTTTAAGTACAAGTCTAAGTGAGTGTATGTGGATGTAGTAAGTAGAAGTAAAGCTAGTATAAGAATATGTGTGTGGTGTTATCTTTTGATCCAATAATAAAAATGTAGACAATTACAGGGTTCTCTCTTCTCTCTTAGTTACAGAACGTTTTGTGTTCAATCTAAGAACTAAAACAAGAGAGTAAAGAGAGATTGATGTTCTCTTTGTCTTTGTTAAAACAGAGAAACAAAAACATCATCACCCTAAGACTATAACCAAACTTACAAGTAAAGAGAGTAAAGAGAGATGCGTTCAATCATTTGCTTGTAAATTTAATTGCCAAAACTGACACTGGGCAAACCATTAGTGCTTCCTTGTTCTTTATTGTTTAGTAGAACTCGATTGGCGATTTCTCTTTGGTCGAAGACGCAGTTTAAAAACCTTTTTATTTGCAAAAAGAAATCATTCAAGATATATCATGTACAAAAGTATGTCGTCGTCACTAGTCTTGGTTTATAGAAAAGAAAACAGAATAATTTGATTATGACGACAATATGCCATTATTCAACTAGCTGAGGAAAAAAGAAAGTGGAATCGATATTAATAAAACAGGAAAGGTTGTTATATATCAAGACAAGGATAGAGAATGCATAAATTAGTGTGACCAGTATAAATCACTAGCTAGCCTCTTCCAAGAGCACTAGATATATACCTTGTTGGATTTGAACCAAACTTGGAACATAAGTAAGGAGAATTGGGCATCTGATATCTCCACGTTTATTCACTTGTCTGATGTATATATCCTCTCCCACAATGTGTAAGATGTTGTAGTAGGGTAGGAGTATATGGTGAGGCACTAAAACTTTCTTCTCATGGTCGGCCGAGACATTTATACAAATCTTAGAGTGGAAATGACGGAACTTGGTCCATGTCATAGCTCCCGTACTCTCCGTCTTAGTTGCTACCAATACATCTAATTTGAATACATTATCAGCGACAAGAGTAGCAAACATACATAGTTGTTGCTCTTCTCTAGTCACTGATAAAACCACACTACCACGATATGGAATATTAGCATCCGCTGGAAGAGGCAGACATTGAAATCTCTCTCTTGAAAAATCAAAACTTAGTAAGAAACGAAGTTCATATGGTGGTGACCAGTCGTTACTAAGAGCAAGCCAGTAAGTAGTTCCCTTGACATGCATGCCACAACTCTGATTCGGTAGTATGTTCCAGTCGTTAGTCACACCAACACTTCTCCATGAATGAGAAGCAAAGTCATAGATTTCGGACTCAATGTAAAATGGGATACCAACAGTAAATGGACGACTCATCCTCAAGATTTTGTGACATGAGGATATGTTATGGTAACCTAGAGCATAGAAGTCTGATTCCTTGTAGGAACTTCTGGGTTGGATCCACTTGGTTTCCCCTGAACATGGATTCCAAACAACTTGGTTTCCCCTGAACATGGATTCCAAACAACCAATCTATTGCATTTGGTGCTGCATAGCAATAAGCCGTCGCAGTGAAAGGCGTTACGTATATCAACTTCTTCTGAAGAATTAGAAAGAGGATCTTTTAGGCTGAATTGACCTGTTATCTTCGCTGATGGGGCAACGTTTTTATTGTTAATTCCATGGAGATCGATGCTCACTAAATAAACCCTAAAATCGATCAACATAATAACTATAGGATACTGCCTTGGAGCATAAGCAGAGTGCTTCTTAGCAAGTCTCCCATCTTTGACGACCGGCCAGAGCGTTCCATCTTTTGGATGTCGATCGCAATCGTGCCAGAGAAGATACAGCAGGAACCCTAGATAGTATCTCCACTACCAAATCCTCCGAAAGATGCATTGTGCTTGAAGCCTTGAAAGCGAATGTCACTTTGGAATTGGGATTTCAAAGAAATTAGGGTTAAGTTAGAATACTTTGAAATTTGCTTCTTCTATTTATGGGCTTCGTCTTAGATTCAGCTAAATTTGGGCTTTTGGGACTATCATGCTATTAGTATTAGGAGAAATATGAAATTGATTACCAAAGAAATATGTGTAACTATTTTCTCATTCATGATTTTCACACCTAAACGTTGTCGGGTTTCTAACAAGTTTGTTTACAATATACAAATGCTCCATCAACATATAGAAGATAGATACAACAATTGTTTGTGTAGTGGGATGAGTTATGCTCAAATAATATTAACTTGAAAAGAATGTTTTGACTTTGCATTACAAAAGGGAGACTGATTCTGTCTCTCTTCATGGATTCAATATCAGTTTGGTTCTCCACATATCTGCCATCACCTTACGCGGTGCGGGATCATCTGGCCCTTTGTCTCGTTGCCCCGAGGTGAAGTATAACTGCCCCTCCCAATACCCAACCAGCGTAGTCTTCACACGGTATGGCAACTTTCCAATCACATACCATTTCTGCAGAGAGAGAAAAATCCCAGCTACTGTTTAATAGGTTAGAGAGGTTTTAAGCATGGAGGTCATTGGGTTTTTACCATTGTATTCAGGTTGAACTGGAAGATTTCACCAACAAGGACCATCTTTTTGGTTTCAGGATGCTTCTCTGTGGTGCCTCCAACGATTACAATGGAGTTGTTAACAACTTTCCAAGCAAATTCAAAATGGGAATCGGGTTTTGGCATCGATGGCATAACTTTCCACTTCATTTCCTCATCCAGCATGTAGACATCACTGAACACCACCTAAACCACCAAGGTAAAAGAAAGGACACACACAATGTCCATAAAATAGCAACAGTTGAGGAATTGCATCAATGGAGGAGGAGTTATGATATTCAATTAAACAGGTAGTCTATTGGATACCTCCATACGGCGTGAGCATTTGAAGATAGGAGATCCTGGTTTAGCCATAAAATCACCTTCTTGACCTCCAATGACAAAAAGCCGGTCATCCACTACCACACATGCTCTACACACACAAGCACAGTCAAACTCAATAAAACAGAGGATGGTGTATTAAGAAGCTATAAGGATTAACTACACCAGACTTCAACAGAGTTGTGAAAATAACCTGTGAGGTCCTCCACGAGGGATTGGAATTTCACTTCTCCACTCCTTTTCCATTGCTTTCCCATCTTTTACTCCAATACTCCAGTGTTCAAGCCCTGGTGTATGCCGATTCTCCTTACTTCCACCCATCACGTGGAGTCTTCCTCTCCATAGCTGAGTAGCTGGAGCATACCTGAATGTAAACAAACTTTGTCACTCAATTTCATCTAATCATTTGTCATCACAGAAAAGAGTAATCTTAATCAGCAAACTGATATCTAAATGTTCCAAATCGCAATTTCTTCAACCGATCATCAATTGTAGGAATGGTATACAGTCCTTAACTAATCCCATTAGCAGATATTCCAAATTGCATCTACTTGTTTCAAAATTACCTAGGAACTGGCAAAGGAACGAAGTCACTCCAAGTATTTGTATCAGTGTCAAGCACAAATGTTTTAGCTGTAGGCCCTCTACATTGAGGACCATATTGACCAGTTACAATGTAGATATATCTCCCATCCGTAACCATCCCTAAATGTGAATGTGCCATCTCTTTTGGCATATCAAATCTTCCTCCCCATGTATTATCGACGAAATTGTATATATCAACATGGGAATGTACCTGAATGTCATAAAACAACTCATCATTGGTCATCAAAAACCAACCAAATGCTACTGATCAAAGATATCTTCTTTCTCCGGTAAAGAAAGATATAAGAGGCTTACAATATCAATGGTGCCGTAACCAGCAAACACATATAGAAAATTCCTAATCTGAATCGCAGCTCCATCAAGACGAGGCACAGGAGCAGCTGCCATCTTCTCCCATTTAAGTTCAGGAGCAGCTAAATCTTGAAACGTTGCAGAAAGTTTCCTCTCCCGAACTTTATCCTTCTTCTTCCCAGTGTCTTTACCCTGAGAAAGCAACAGAAGTGAGTATCCTAAGCTAATTCTCTTTTGCTTGAGATCTAATTACATCAAGAAGAGACAACATTGAACCATTTACATTGGAATTAGGAGGGAGTTGTCCGATCACAGTGGTAACGGAGGAGGGAAGAGACATTCCAATGGAGGAGAAACGATGAGAAGAAGCCCAAAGGAAGTCTGCAACAAGTCCGGCGGCTAAAAGAGCGAGGCATGAAACTAACACAACTCTCCCATAATTCTGCTTCCCCGTTGGCCTCGCCATATCTATCTATCTCTGCTAAATTGGCATCAATCTCTCTTGAGGGTTTCACAAACTTCAGATAAAGGTTACACCTTTGGTTTCACTTTCAGGTAAAAAACACAGATGTTGAAGAATGCAGAGGTGACGGTGACGGATCTTGAATCTCCAAGAGAAGACGCGGAGGGCAAAGCCGTGTTTTTTTTCCTCTGGCTATAGTGTATATATATTTTTCCTTAATTAACTAACAATTTTAATGAGTGAGGAAAAAAAAAACATTCAGGTTTTTAAACGCAAACGCAGATTCCGAGCTCAGTGTTCTCTCCCAACTTTTCGCCGCCGGCTTCTATTGTCTCTCTGTTTATCAGAACTGACTCTGTTGCGCTCCTTCATTCTCTTCTCCGGCTTCAGCTTATTTTGGTAAAAAGGTTTTGGCTTTTTTCTTTTCTCATGTTCGATTCTCACAATTTCATGTATATCTCTGCTCTTCTTCCTTTCTAGAGTCTATTTTGGACTATAATCCTGACTGTTTAGAATCCTTCCTATCTTCTTGTTTTGCCTCTGTGGCTACTACTGAATTCGGGTTCAATATTGTTTTAACAATTTAAGGTTTTGGTTTGCTTGTGGTGTAGGTGTTAGGGTCTGTTACTGGAATGGCTCAGTGTGTAAGGTCAACTCTAAATCCTTTGAGAACACCCCACAGCGTTACTAAGAGAGTGACTGTAAAAAACCCAGCTTTTGCATCAGTCTCGTTCCTTAGAACATTACCGGAGTTCAAGAAATATCCAAAACCCTGTTCATTGGTTATGTCTTGCCAGGGCAAGGTCCAAAACCAGCAGGAGGAGCGACCGCAACTGTCTCTTGACGATTTAGTCACGAGTAACCGGAAAGGAGAGGTTCTTGGCACAATCAAAGACTCGCTTTCTAATTGTCTCTCTGAGACGAATCTTCTTGCGACTGTTCCTGGTCTGAAATCTAGAATCAAGGGAAAGGTTAGTAATGTTTCCTTTTTGTTCCATATCTGTGTGAAAAAGACCAAGCATGTGCTAAACCAATACAATAAGTTTAGAGTTGAGAACTGATCATAATAGTGAAATTGATTTTGCAGGTCAGAGATATTTATGATGCTGGTGATTATCTGATTCTTATTACAACTGATCGGTTGAGTGCATTCGACAGAAACCTTGCTTCAATTCCCTTCAAAGGCCAGGTTTGTTTTTCTCCATGTTTGTGCTCTATATTCAAGTTGGATAGCTTTAAAGTGTTGAATTTGTCTTCGTTGGTCTGTAGATCAAACTGCAACGAATAATGAGTTTGTGGTGCTTAACTTTCAGGTTCTTAATGAGACAAGTTTGTGGTGGTTCAATAACACACAGCACATAACTCCAAATGCCATCGTTTCATCTCCTGATAGAAATGTTGTTATCGCAAAGAAATGCTCGGTTTTTCCCATAGAGTTTGTGGGTTAGTGCGTATTGGATCTAGATACAGAGTACCTTGTTAGACGCTTCCCTATGCAGCCTCTATTTGCTTTAGTTCTAAGCTGTTCTCTTATGTTTGTTATTTGTAGTTAGAGGATATGTGACTGGAAGTACTGACACATCTTTATGGACGGTGTACAATAAAGGTGTTCGGAACTATTGTGGGAATGAGCTCTCAGATGGTACAGTTTCTTTTATTGCCATTTATTAGTTGTCTTCTTCTTTAAGTGCATCTTAGAAGATCTTTGATATGCTGATTACTAAATTATGCAGGATTAGTAAAAAACCAGAAGCTTCCAGCTAATATACTTACACCAACAACTAAGGCTGCGGATCATGATGTGCCCATCTCTCCAAATGAGGTCTAATAATCTGTTACAGTAAATAAATGTAGAAACCATAATATAAGTTTTTTGAGTCATGAGTTTACTCTTCCTGTGATCTGCTTAGCTGTGAGACAAGAATATTTAAGCCACAATTGTGTAGTTCTAATTTTCCAGATGATTCTTGCAGATAGTTGAACGTGGATTCATGACTCAAGCTGAATTTGATGAAGCAAGTATGAAAGCTTTGAGCTTGTTTGAGTTTGGGCAGGTTAGTTACAACTCCTCCGTCTAAAGCTGTAGACTATAGTGATTTCATAATCTCTAAAGTGCAGACCACAAGAAATTAGTTTCTTGATATATTTTGCTTGCTTCAATATTCAAATGTTGTGCTTTGTTGGAAGGTCTAATAGATTTTAATTATATCATACTTGCTTCAGTGTGTTGCCAAGGAACATGGACTGATACTGGTGGACACAAAGTATGAGTTTGGAAGAAGTAGTGATGGCTCAATCTTATTGATTGATGAGGTCTGTTATCTATCTATTCGTTTCCATGTCTGTCTCTCTTCACATGCATAGTTGAACACATATCTGCACAACTGCCAAAATCACTGATTAGAATCATCATCCACTTGTACATATTGTGCCTAGATTCATACACCCGATTCCAGCAGATACTGGCTTGCGGGTTCATATGAAGAGCGCTTCCAAAAAGGCCTGGAGCCTGAAAATGTTGATAAGGTTAGTGATTGTGCCTGTTTTTGCTCTCAGTGAGGTTTCATTGGTTTGTAGCACTTTGTTCTCTAACATGTTCTCTTTTGTTTTTTCAATCCAAATAGGAGTTCCTAAGATTGTGGTTCAAAGAGAACTCTAATCCTTACGAGGACGAGGTATACTTACATCTTCACAATGTAGTTTCCATTTCTCCTGCTCTATCTGAGAATCCCTTCTAAAATTCTTGGTGTCTCGCCTGTGATTGTCAGGTCCTGCCTGCTGCTCCAGCAGAACTCGTGACTGAATTAGCTTGGCGGTATGTATTTTGATCTGTAAACTTTGTAATAGGATTGTTCTAGTACATGTTTTCCATATGGAAAGAAACATTGTGTGTGTACATGCTTTAGGCTCTGTGAGCTCAGACATTCGCTAGACTATGATTTTTCTCTAGTAGTCTCGATATTAAAAACTGATTCAAGAAACCGCGATGATGGCAGGTACATTTTCTTGTATGAAACTATCACTGGATCAAGAATTGACATTATTCCGACTCAGGTATGATCCTTATCAATCCCAAAATTATACTTTATCACCCGCGTTGTATCTTAGTTTCAAGCGTATTGATCTATAGCTTTGTTGACAGGAACCGATACATGACCGAATCTCAAGAAACACAAGCCAAGCACTTTCATCTCTCCGTCAACTTTGATCTTTTATATAACCTTTAGCCAAAGGGGCAGAGAGCATAAGTCTGTTTCTTGTTGCATTGTTGTCCTAATTGATTATGAATCAAAGAGAGCTTAAGTTCAAATTGAGCAGTCTTTTATAAACGAATAAACATGTAAAAACTAATTGACACGGGTAAGAACCCGAATTCTAAAAGAATCCATTTGCTTTCATTCTTGACACAGGCTTGGTGAATAAGAATAGTTGTATCAGAAAAGAAACGAACAAAACTAAGAAAAAGACATTCATCTATATTGACAACTGAAGTAGCCTTGTCCAGAACCAGGGCTTATGACCCGGTAAAAAGGTAAACAATCATCGATGAACAGACGGAAAACTTAAAACTTGAAGGTTTCAGTCACTGTATTGTTCTGCCTATCAATGCTTTGTCGAGGTTAGTACTTAGCTGTAAATTTCTATTGCAGATTGGCATTCCACAACTGCCTTTTTCGAGATATGTAAAATCCTAACTGGTCTCCCTACCCTTCTTTCTGTTCCATGTTATAAAACCGGCTTTAGCTTCTACATATAGACAAAATTCTTCTACTTCTTGCTTTTATCAGTCTCTACTTTTCTGCAACCAAAGAAATTAAAACCATGTCAACAGTTCATAACCAATAACATGAACTTCAAGTTCCAAGCTGGCTTAAAATGCCTACCTTTTCTCACTTTCTTCCTGCTTCTATCGAACCTGGAAAGTTCCAGGAAGAGGTAATAACAAGTGTTAATGATTGTTATGCGATAATGTGATTGAATTAAGGGAAATTTTGCACCTACCAATTGCTAGGCTGATTGAATTGACGAGGCTGCCTTATTTTCTGTAGTAACAGCGAGAGTAGCACAATTCTCTTTCTCAAACTCGGGGTGTTGGGTTTCACCGGTCTTCGATGGGGAAGCAAAGAAGCTATCAGGCAGAGCGTTCTCCAGAGTTGTCTCTTGCCTTGAGCAATAATAATTAAAATACAAGAAAATGATGATACAGAAAAGACTTAAAGCCCTGAAAATGATCAGAAACCATTTTTATTATCTTAGTAGCCATACCCTTTGCTGAGATGGTTATTGTAAACACGTTCTTGGCTGCTGTTGTGACCAGTATCACTCAGAAAAGCTCGGGTTGCTTCAGACTGAAAATGTCCTGAATCACCATTACCTGCTAAGCAGAAACACGGAAGAGGGCAAAAGTAAATAAATGCTAAAGCCAAGTTCCATGTAGGCGAGATAGAATAACCTTCGAAGACTTCATCACTCGTGTTTTCTGATCGAAAGAGCATGCTTTGATTGACACGAGGGGAAAAATGAACGGGGGATCCAATAGAAAGACTACGCTGGTGATGGAGAAACGATTTACTGTCCATGTCGGGCAACTGCAGATTCAGAAATCTTCTCCTCTGGAATTCTATTGCTTGTTGCAGGTCAGCTTGCTCAGCTTTTCTCCTCATCATCTCCTGTGTGTTCGAAAACATCCTTGGTGCTGGTAGCAAACAAAAAGACTGTTCTCAGAACAAATACCAAAAAACAGAAAGAAGAGATTGAGCTCTGATAAAACCATATCCACATGGGGAATCAAGGGTACGAAAGAAATTCAACTAACAGAGGTGAAATTCAAAGAGATCCCTGGAATCCATTCCAGATGGACTTGAACCAGGAGAAAAGTTTCCTCTCTCCATCTGCTGCAGCAGTTGTTGCTGCTGCCTCCTGCTATTGTTTGATGAAAATTATTATCAGAAAAAGGGAACACGAAAGAGAAGTATGATGTGGGAAGGAGAGGAAAAAACAGACAAGGCATGAGCAGTGGTTTCAACATACTTTTCAAGGATTCTTCCCTTCTCCTTGTACGGTTTAACGAGCACACGTGAGTCACAGATGAAATGAGGATTTCCTCTCGCCAATATGATTCTCACAGTTTCAGAGTGGACAAAAGTGACAAACCCAAACATCCGTTTCTGCTGGTATGGAATCCTAACATCTTGCACTGGTCCAAAAGTGCTACAAGAAAACAACAAACATTATTAATCTTCAATAACAGAGCCAGGCAAACATTAGTTAGACATCCACCAAACTTTCAATGATGCAAACACATAACAGCTTTGATCCAATTGTGTTTTTGAAAGTTTACCCAAAATAATTGGAGACATCTTCATCTGTGAAGGAGCTGTCAGCTGGAAATGTCAAGTAAATCTGTTTAGAAGCAGAGTTAGATTTATCTCCCATTCCCATAAACTCATCCCTTTCATGCCGGCCTGGACTACCAAACCAGTAACCCTCTTCCCCATATTGTCCTGCTCCTGATCTGCAAAAACAAAACACCACCAAAAACAGAAAACTATGAACATTTCTTCAATCATACTTCAAACATAAGATTGACTAAAGAGCCTAAGAAAAAAAAACAATCATTGGTATGTAAATGAATACCAAAAGTAGTAAAACCATACGAAAACGACTTCGAGAACCACAATGATATAAGCAATAATTAACATCTTAGACCCAAAAAAAAATCACAAAGATACAAACTTTTTCATGATCCATTGCAACAAACACATTTTTCGTAAAATCTCTAACCAAAAACACATTCTTATGCAAAAAAAGAGCTTCATTTCATAATTACCTATGCGCATTACGTTGATGCAAGAGGAAATTGAGGCCTTTTTCATACGACATTGGAGAACCAGTAGCCGCCAAGTACTGAGCAGCAGCCATTCGCTGTCTCTGAGCCATCTTCATCCTCACCATCTCCTCTTGCTGTCTGGAAACATAATCCGGCGAGCCAAAACCACCAGGAGAATCGAAATCATCACCTAAACCACCGTGAGGGAACCTATTGTAACCGCCGCCGCCAAATCGGGGCTCCTCAGACCCGAAACAAGCATCACTGGCTGAGAAACTCCTCTTATGCAAATGGGCATCGCCATTATCAGCAGAGAACCCAAACGGATCCAGAGATTCGTCGTTATTCTTCGAAGAAGATTCGTTAAGAAACGACAAGTAGTTGCCTAGTTGCTGCTCATCGAGGAAATCGCCGTTTCCAGTGGAATCACCAGCAGCACCACCGTCAGAAGCAAAAAGAGACGAACTTGCTTGAAACGGACTCGAAATCATGTTAGGGTTACTTCCGAGTGAACCAGGAGTAGTCAAAGAAGGAGACAAAGGGTTGTTCCTCGAAAACTCCACAAACCCATTTCCCGGTGAAGACTGAGACAGAGAATGACGGTGGATGTTAATGGGTCTGGAGATAGGGTTCAATGGCGAGGAAGCAGAAGAAGATCCATTAGAAGAAAGACCTAAAGCAGATTTAGCTTTGAGACAAACAGACTGCAAGAGAGTGTCTGGTCCAAGAGCCAAACGCATCAAATCTCTCGTACCCAAGTCCTGTAAAAGCAAGTAACCAATGATTTTTGAAGCGAAGTCTGGTTCTAAAGTTCTGATCTTTGTGAAAAGTATCGAAGTAGGATCTCCCGGATCCATATTCAGAGTAAATTTCTTTTCTTTTCTTTTTTTGGTTTCTCTCTCAGAGAGATTGAGAAGAAGAAGAAGAGGCTCTTTGAGAGTAGTGGGTACTAACTTGGTTTTTTTTTGTAGCGTTAAATGTGATGTTTTTTTTTAGGAGATTTGAGAGTAAGATTTTGTCTTCTAATGAACATTTATAAAAATAAAATAAAAAAAGAGAAAACTACTTTTGTAATGTGTTCTTTCTTTTCGGGTTCTGTTTTTGTGTTATCGGGTTTAGGGTTTTTTTTTTTTTGAAGTTTGTCCAAGACTAGGAGCGGGATTCTAGTTATAATCGAATTTGTTTTCCTTTTTTTGCTAAAAAGATAAATTTGTCATTAAGATGTTGTTTAACAATAGTACTCCATTGACCAACCAAGGGGCTTATATATATCCCATTGGATGCATGGAGTTTTTGGTTTTGAAAACTTTTAACTTTTTATTTCTTAGTCAACTAGTTTGATTTGATTCTATGGAAAATATGTTGTTATTCATTCATATACCTAAATTTGTACTAAAACAATGTGTTGTTATAGATTTTGTTATGTTTATAAATCTTCTTAAATTAATTAAATTTACACGTTACGAAACTACTTCTATGTAAAATTCAATCAAATTAAATTTATACGTTATTTAAACAATTTAGTTTAATAAGAAGATTTCTTATTCAATTGACTTAGATTTATTTAATTGATTTTGAACTTAATTAACTAGAGATCGAAAAATATTAAGACACAAGAATTATGAAACACAACTTTCCAAGAATATTTGGGTATTCATGCATTTGCGAGTTATTCGGATTTGGTTTTATATGTGTAATCTATGTATAGATGTCGAACGCACATTAGTTTTATTTTGGAGTAGTCGAAAGTTGATTCTACGTTGATTTCACGTGTCTTTCCTTGATTGTCGAAATATGAAAATGTTAAAAAATACTCTAAAATCTTAATTTTTGTCGTCTATTACATAATTTAAATTTACTAATTTAGTTATTTATTATTAATCTACTAAATTTAATTAAATTTTGTGTTATGAGATCACTACTTTATAAAGTTCAATCAAAGTTTTACGTTATTTAAACAATTTAGTTTAATAAAAAGATATGTCATTCAAATGTCTTAGATTTAATTGATTTCATAGCTACAATACTAATAGTTTGCCGATTTAAGACAACAAAAAAATTATGCACACGACTTGCCAAAAGTATTAAGGTATCCATGTATCCGGGAGAGCGGTTTTAGCTTACAATGGCTATATCCATCCGCGTGTCGAACGATTATGGAAAAGTCAACGAATTGGTTTGGTCTTCGTTGATTATACATGTCGTGTCTTGGTTGAACGATTAAAAATAGAAAAATAATCACAGCGATTGTTTTTTATTGTCTTTTCATCATTTGGACAGACTAAAATTATAGATTTTTGGTTATTTATTATTTAACTATCTAAAATTAATTAAATTTATGTGTTACGAGATTACTTATATATAAAACATATGGAAAATAAAAAATGTAACTAAATTAGTAAGTTATTTAAAATAATTTAAATGTAGTAATAGATGTGTTAATGGCAAGTATTGGATTTTAATGATTTACAACTATGATATTAATATGTTAGCCATTTAAGGCAGTTTTATATATAAGGTA